CCTTTTATGTCCGCCCATTATTCTGGCCACCCGAGTTAAATTAATGGTAGATTTAAATTGTTGAATCGATATAAGTCAGGAGAGAGAGATTCAGATAGACAGACGAGTGAACAATAACGATAAGTCAAAGGTAGGCAACCAGACTAGATCACACGAGTGAGCCAGCCTTGCTGACCCGAAACCAATCAAGTTCGGCCGACTAGCAACAGTGACCAAGCCTAACCGTTCAAACCGGTCCTGTTGACCTAAAGCCAAACAAGCAAAATTGATGGAGCTATAGAGCCGCCGAGCAATAGGCTTTTATGTGTGAAATACCACTAATATCATGTATTATCCCCTTTAAAGCAGAGCAAAACTGGAAAATCATCAATATTATACTATATTCTCTATAAATAGTGCGATCATTTTATGAATAAAGGGAGATCAAAAGGATTGACATGATAGATGCTAAGTTTTACCATTTAGTATTGTTCACTGTTCACTTCTCTCTCTCTTCCTCGTAACTTGCGCTCTATTTCTTGAGGAGTGATTCAAGGGCAAATCTAAATTCAACATACATTTATACATTTGACATGTCACTTACTTCCTATGTGTTTACATTAACACTTAGCTATGTATGAAAATGTATATTACATAGTATTGGGTGGTATGTATGTAAATGCCAATTTATCTAATTTATTCTTGCCAAAATACAAAAAATAAAAATAAAAAATAATGGAAAATTTATGTACATACTACTAGTAGTGTAAGTGAGCCAACTCAAGCTCGACTCGACAAGTGGCTTGTGAGCTGAGTTGATGAGCTAACAAGCCAAGCTCAAGCCCGCCCTGACTTATACTCTCTAGATCTTGAGTCGGCTCATCTAAAAAATTATTAATAAAAAATATAATTGAAATAATAATATTTTTCTCTCTTTCATACTCTACAGGCTGGCTCTTGAGCGAGCTTGAACTTAAAAAATATCTCAATTAATCAATCAATCTAAAACCGCTCGACCACAACTCGACTCGTTTACACCCATACGGCACAATTCTTTCGTAATTGCATATTGAAGACCTAACATATTACTTTTTAATGCTTATGCATAAAAATATGTATTTCATTTTTAAAAGTTAATGACATTGATATATATATATATATATA